GGGCTCATCTCTTTGAAATTTTGCAGCAGTTTAGAGAACTTGGCTGATATTTTCACCAAATCATTGTCCTCACAGAAGCACGTCAAGTTCAGAAATATGCTCGGAGTATGCAACTATGAATCAAGGGGGAGTGTTGATTAAAGATTATTGATTCATAATTGACAGCTCATCATAGACTAAGTCCTTATTGATTATTTTCATTATTCCTATTCTTTTGGTATTACTGTTAGTGGAATAAGTCATGGTTAGTGGAGAGGATTTTTAGGATCTCTAATTTGTTGAAGTTTATCTCCGTTTGTTTTTATGTTTAAGAGCTCTATAAATAGCTCTACAGATCAGTGAATAAAAATTAGTTCTTCTTCTCAGTTCTATATCTACTTTGAAGTCTTTGTTTTTTTTGTTCTCTGCATTCCAGTTCCAACAAAGTATCTTAACTAAAGTAGTAGTAATTCTTTTTTTAGAAATGGACTTTAAATAGTTTTCAAAAATGGTGAGAATATATACTTTAACCATTTTTATTAAAAATATTTTGATAATTTGCACTAAAGATAAAGAAGGTCACCTACAGAGAGCCAGGCCATCCCAGTGTGCGGAAGAAGAGGGATATTAAAGGAAGGAGATCGAAAGATTAAGTATTAGAGGAGAGAGGGAAAAAGAAAAACAAATTAAATTTATAGATGAATAGAATTGTATTCTACCATTTTCAATTGCTTAATCTTTATGCTTTTATATATATATATATATATATATATATATATATATATATATATATATATATATATATATATATTGATTCTGGTGAAAATGCGATCTTAGGAGAGAAATGAGAATGAATCTGGTGCTTTAGATTGAGCGATCTAAGGGTCAAGATTGCATCAAAATTAGATGCAACATAATGGTTTGAAAATGCATCACGTCGAAATGCATCATAAACCTTTAAAAATGCACTATCTCAAAATCTGAGCGCAAGATGCAATCTGAGCCGCACGATGCATCAAATCCAACAACTAGATTTCATTCTCATTTCTCTCCACAAGCTGCATTCTCACAGGAACCGGCCCCTATATGTGTGTGTGTGTGTGTGTGTGTGTGTGTGTGTGTGTGTGTGTGTATGTATGTATATTCCACCAAATGAACTAGGAGAGCAACACCTAACTTATACTCCTTCCGTCTCAAAAAGATTGATACATATTGACTTCTTGAAAATAAAGGGAGGGATATTTTGGTATTGACTTTCCAAAAATACCCTTGATGTGATGGGTAAAAGTATGATGTGTTGGGTAGATTATTAGAAAAAATGTATGATGTGATAGGTAGGGTATGAAAAAGTAAGGGGTAAAAGTGGTTTTTAAATACGGAGTAGAAATGTAATGGACTTTACGGGACGCAATTTTTTCTAAACGTAACAAACATTTTGGGACGGAGGGAGTATTAAGTAAGAAAACTAATACAATCAAGAGTGATCTCTTCAGTTTTTATGTTTTGCAGTCTATCCAAATCGATCTTTGACCTATAATTAAATAAAAATTAGACACTAAGTTGAATCGATAAAATAGTACTCACTCCTTCAATTCATGACATTCTTAAGGTTTTGATTTTTTTTTGCAAAACAAGGGAACTCTTTAATTTGATCAGAAACTGTGAGAAAAGTATTTTTGTATTTATACTCTAAGTTTAAAATAATTGCATTCATCTTGGGATTTAGTTTTGGTGTATCAAAGTTTTATAATACTCCATTCATCCCAAAAAGTTTGTTACGTTTAGAAAAAACTGCGTCCCGTAAAGTCTGTTACACATTTCTATTAAAAAACCACTTTTACCCCTTACTTTTTCATACCCTACCTATCACATCATACCTTTTTCCTAATAATCTACCCATCACATCCTACTTTTACCCATCACATCAAGGGTATTTTTGGAAAGTCAATGCCAAAATATCTCTCCCTTAATTTCCCAAAAAGTCAAACCGTCACATTCTTTTTGGGAGGGAGGGAGTATTTGTTTATTTAGATCATGCTTAATTAGTCGTCAAAGAATATCACTATTTCATCCAAAAAAGTTAAAATAAAAACAAATTCAAGTTAAAATAAAAACAAATACAACATAAATATATCAAAATTATTTTGTATCCATGTCGAATAAATTTGTTTCAATTGATAATCAAAGTCTATTACAAACAATGAACACCTGACCAATTTCATTTTCTCATCACTCTTCATCGGAGGGCGGCAAATTCAAGTCAAATCTGTTGTATCTCCCCTCTGCCTCCTCGTTCCATTCTCCTCCTTCCGGCGGCGCGTTCAAATCCAGCTCCAATACGGCGGCCGGCGGCGCAACCATTTCAAGGCGAGGACGCGGCGGCGGAGAGGGGGGACGCGGGACGACACCCCGAAAACGAAGGCGGCGGACGGCACTACTCCCCTCTCCCTGCTGGATTTCCCGCAGCTGTTCCTCCTCGGACTTGACGAGAAGCTCCCTGTACTCGGCGAACTCGTCCATGCTGAACGACGGCGGGCAGTAGGCCCCACGCCAGAGGCGCTCTTTGTGGGACCGCAGGTGCCCGAACATCGCCTTCTCCGTCGGATACACCGCCCCGCACGTGTCGCATACGTGCCGCTCCTCCTGCTCTGCCGGCGGCGCAGCTTCAAAAGCGCCGTCCTCGTTCTCGTGATGTTCCTCCTCGGCTTCTGGCGCCGGCGGCGCCTGGACGTAGTGATGGGACGACCCAGGTTGACCGTCTCTATTTGCCTTTCTCATGGTACCTGGAGGAACGAACAACTGTATACTCTGTATGTAGCTTATTATTAGCTTGTTAATATGGATCTGTACTGTGGCGGGGTATATATATATATATATATATATATATATATATATATATATATATATATATATATATATATATATATATATATTTGATGAGTAGGTTATTAGTAAGAAGGCCGGTATGAAAAAATAGGGATGAAAATGACTTTTTAATGTAATAAGAAGAGTTTTTTGGGACGAATAAAAAAAGTGAAAGATTTTCAAAGACGGAAGAAGTATATATATCAAATTAATTTATCAAATTAATTTGTGCTCCATATACTTCATTTACTCCGTATTTGATAAACATTGTTTCTTTTTATTGTTTCCGAAGTCACTATGTCATATGTATAATTATATTTTTCTAACTCACATTTATAATTACGCCCTATTTTTTTATGATACTTATTTGAACATCAATAATCCAATTTTTCATTTTCTTAAGTTGCATCACTTGCATGTCACTAACATGTGTTCTTAAAATAGTGGACGAATCAAAGAGAGCAATATTTTATTATTATTTTGTTAATCTTAATGGAACAAAAAAAGTTACGGAGTACAAAAATAATTTGCCGTTAACGAAAAATGATCTCACGCTCTACTTTATACACTAAAATTTAATTATAATTGAAGTGTTGTGTCTAACAATCATGCAGCTTAGGAAAAAATGGATATTTTTATTCTAAGAGCAATGTTAGGGGTACACCAAAGGTGTATCCCAATCGTACACCACATGCTTCTCCACCACACATGTCTATTTGATTTTTATTTTTTCAATTCTTTTTAAATCTCTTGCCAATTATTATGGACAAGGAGGGGGTGGGGGACAATTGGGGTACCTTTTGGTGTACCCCTAGCATTTTTCTAAATATAATATCAAATCGCTACATTATATTCCTTCCGTTTCATAAAAAGAGTTCTGCTTTAGTTTTTTATGCATCCTTTAAAACATTTCTACCACACTTAAAAGAAACTAAAAATATGCCTCCATATTGTAATTTATTGTGGATAGAAGTTGGTTTGAAGGTGATGGATACCCCGGAATAGGTTTGAAGGTCAACTTTTTATATTTCAAAACTTAAAAATGCAACCCACACCAACCTGGCTATATTTGGTTAGATAGTAATTAATTTTTGTAATGATTAAAATTGAACAGTTTAAATTAATTTTCACATTAATCACATTAAATTAATCCTTGATCACCTACCTATACACAAGTACTCCGTACATTTGAGGACCTGTCTATACAAAGAAGCCTAAGAGAAGATCCAAAATTACTTGCTCTAAGAACTAATTAAGACGTACTTTAATTACCGCTGGCATCATGAATAACGTTACCTTAGCTTGCATTGTTTATTTGACTTGGCAAAAGATTACTTGAATTTTATAAACTTTATACTTCTACCATTCCAAAATAGATTACACAGCTATTATTATGGTCTTTCAATTATTTTTGTTTCGTATATGTTTGAGTAAATTCTATAAAAGGTCTCCAGTTATAGGTCGTTTTACATATTTAGTCCCTACATATCAAATATTACTAATTTAGTCTCCAATTATTATATTCATTTCCACGAATGGTCCTTTGTTAACATTTTCGTTAAGAATGTGGATAAAATTATAAATTCGCACTCCTTTCTCTCCTCAATTAAGCTTCCTTCTTCCCTTGCACTGCTATCTCAAACCCGTCGCTGAGTTTCTAGCTTTGAACCAAAAACCAAAATTATCACTCTTCTCTCAATTGTTTATCTAACTGGATGAATGATCATTTAAATTTTGGATTTAAGAGCTTAAATTCAGTGACGAGTTTGGAAAAGAGTATGAAAAGATGGAGGAAGCTTAATTGAGGAGAGAGAAGTATAAATATACAATTTTGTCCACGTTCTTAACGGAATTATTAACAAAGGACCATTCGTGGAAATGAATATAATAATTGGGGACTAAATTAGTAATATTTGATATGTAGGGACTAAATATGTAAAACGACCTATAATTGGGGACGTTTTATGGAATTTACTCTATATGTTTCTATGTTTTTATTCAATTCGTCACTTGATTATAAAATACTCCGTAAAATATTAATCGTGTCACCACTTATTTTCTAGAAATTTTGATATAGTTTTTAAATATGGAAATTGCAGTTTTTTCTATATCAACTTGTAAAAAATTTAAACTTAAAGTAAGTGGATTTTATAATTTTTTGAACCGTGCAATATAATTTAGAATGAAAAGAGTGACCGGCGGGCGTCACACCGTTGGCAAAACAAGGAGTACCAAGCGGGTGGACTCGAGTTGCGCTGGAGGACAACTATTCTGCGATCAAAGTCCAATTTATCTCCTCTCAGTAACCGTCCAGACGGGTCTGGGGGGACCTTGGAGATAGGGCTCATGAAAAGAGTGTAATAATATATGTATGGTATGCAGTTGGAAGGAGTCTGTGCTCCAGGTTGAAGCATTGAGTTGGCCAACTCAAAGCCATCACTAGGCGCATTAATATTGATTTAAAACCCTGTCCGAAAACAATAATCCCATGCCCACTTTGATATTTGACACTATTTATTTAGAGAGTACTTATTCAAACTGTTTCATTTGTATTATTCATTGCAGTTTAACAATTTAACTTAAATCGTCATGGCATTGAATTTAATCCAAGGTTAAAGTTGATAAGTAGGTTTTAGAGAGGTACTAGTACGTACTATGTGATTCTTAATCTTACTTCATTATTAATTATTCCCTCCGTCCACAAATAAACTTCTCGTTTACTATTTACATGATCAAAATTTATTCACTTTGTTGGCTTATTTTTGTCACCCATTTGATAAAATAATATAGTCATGTCACTTCTAGTTTTGTAGATCTTTTGATATAGTTTTTTAATATGTAATTTTTATTTTTAAATTTTACACCATTTTTCATTAAAATGATTTGAAAGTCTTTAGTCAAACATCGTAACGCACAACGGGAAATTTATTTGTGGACAGAGGAAGTATATATTTGACTTTGTGGGCACTTCGTAATGTTGAGAGATCGAGGTAAAGAACTGCCAATATAATGTACGAAACATATGAACATTTAAAAGATAGTGACATGAAAATGTGGTACAATACGTGGGCTATGTAACAACATCTTTAATGCAGAGCTCTTAAGGAGTTAGCTAATTCAAAATAGTTGAAGTGGAGTTCATGTGGAACTTACGTGGAGCACGTACTAGTTGCTTCATTTATCAAATGAGTTACTTAGGGAAGGAACTGTACTTTAGCATCGAACTCTCCCTAAATAACTCACACTAAAGATGCTCTAAGCATCTTTAATGACATTGTTTAAGAGAGTTCTTAACTAAGCTATAGTTGCTTCAGTAAGCAATTCTGTTAAAAAATGAAGCAACTAGTGCTCCACATGTGCTCCATATAAGCTCCACATCAACACTTTTAGTTAAAGCAACTCTATAAGTATCTTGCACTAATGTAGCAGTAATTCTTTAATTTTTAGATATGAGCTTTGAATAGTTTTGATGGTCTTTCTATAAATATATTCTTATTCTATTTGTTCCACACCTTACCATTCTTTATGAATACAGCTTGATTATCTAAATATGATGGCTACAACGATGAGGGTCTCTATGTTGATGAAGAGACGATGCGGTACTTTACATTTTTAGTTGAAGCAACTCTATAATATAAGCATCTTGTACTAAAGTAGTAGTAATTCTTTTTTAGAAATGGGCTTTGAATAATTTTGTTGGTATTTCCATCAATATATTCTTGTTCTTTTAGTTCTATACCTTATCATTCTTTATGAATAGGCATGTCAATGGGTCAAGTATAGACCAACCCGTATAATACTCGTAATGTTTTAGCGGGTTTAGGAGCATAAAAAATACCGTTTTTGCATACCCGAACTTGTACCCGTTATTTTAAAAAAATAAATGGTTGGGTATAGGACGAGTAGTCCTGACCCGTTTAAAACCTGTACTGGTTAAACATATATTACGTACATAATATTAAATATTACCAAACTCTACCTCTCTTCTCCACTACTCATCTTTTTCGCTGGTTGTGTGGCTTCCAAATCTATTTGTATTTTTTTCACCACATTAGAGGCATGTACACGTTGGTTTATGCTATGCAGTGGTATAAAATAAATAGTTTGGAATCAGTTGTAATGTTATAAAGAACATTCTTGCAACATGAATGAATGTGACAAGAAGATCGATTATAAATCTAAAATTTTTGTTGTAGATTTTTGGCGAAAAAGGCATATTTTTGTTGCACTAACGTATTAGTCTTATTTTTATTTGAATTTAATTAAAGTGTTTTTCATTCATAGTATTTTCACTAATTGTTTTTCAATTATAGAAAAATAAAAGATGTCAACTCTTATCATGGGTATACCCGATTCGATACCGAGACCCAATGGATCCAAATATAAGATTAAACTTCAAGACCCGTCGGGTAAATGGTTACGGGCCAGGATCAATTTTTTAAAACAGGTACGGGAATAGAACACTATGGACTGGCCCGAACTCGACCCATTGACACACATATTTATGATTACAACTTGATTATCTAACTATGATAGCTACAACGATGAGAGTCTAGAGGTTGATGAAGACGTGATGTGGTACTCAACTATCAAATGGCATGATAAAAAATTTGTATCCTTGGCGTCAAGGATCTTTCACGATCGATGGTTATTTAGCAAAATTCTTAGCCAAAACTCATTTCATTACCATTAAAAAGTTGTAAGTCGATAATCAAACGTTACGAAAAGAGGTTGAGACTCTATGGTAATCGATTTAGTTGTGACTATTCACCCATTAGATTGATTGATGTGTGATATATATGATAGTCTCAGTATATTTGTTGTAATGTACACTGAATTCCCAGAAAATGCTTAAATAGTAACCTAACATATGTGGGTTAACAAATTAAGATAATGATGTATATAAAGTAGACCTAATAAAACATCTTATACCGGTATGAACTTTGTAATGGGTAAAATCCAATAGTAAACCTACTTAGGGTTAATGGAATCTAACCTGGTTGTTATATAAAGGTTAAGACGTTAATCTCCAAAACTAATCTCACAACTACTTTTCCTCCCTTGTGTCCATCAATCGAGATAGATCTATTGAGAGTGGAGATTAGTCTCTAAAGAATCATATTCTTTCTCAGTCATCTCTTCTGATGATATGAAATCTGAATATCTAGTTGTTTACTTCATAGTCTTGATATCTCACATAACTCAACTTATTGATTATGTTCCAATGATTCTTGTTTGCATTCTGTAACTTTTGTGATTGATTGTACGATGTATTTGTCGTTTATCGCTGAAAGAGCCAAATTGAATCTTGTTGCAGCTGCCAAAGTTCAAATTCCATCGCAGTAAGTGATTTTCGATGAAGGCTCTGTATGAAGACTTTATATTGCAGGTCCCCTGCTGATATGCCTCTATTATAGTAGAGCATCAAATTATCTAAATGAAAACTTTAATATTTTTATACTAAAATAAGAGTTAAACTTGCTTCATAATTAAGAGGGTGTTTGGCAATGCGATACTTTTAAGAATTTTACTTTCTGCTTTAGTGGAATCACTTTATCCATAAGTTGATCACTACCAAACACCCTCTAAGTAAGACATCATTAAGAATTTTAGTTCAATTAGTTTTGTATCAAAACTAAAAAGAAAATTAAATTATAATCTTTAAGGACTCCCCACCCCAATCCATCTCTTGTCTACTGCTTGTTTTTGTTATGACAATATCGTCACGCCAACATTCTTGTTATTCAATCGTTGCATTCATTGAGTCATAATATCATCACGCGTCATTCAGATTCTATATAATGTCGCATTAACTTTGAGAAATTATTATCTTTCTAAATGTAACGAGATCAAAATAAAGACAAATGTCAAAAGAATGTCACCCACCAGTATAACGATATCAAATAATTAGCAATTGTGTTCCTTGCAAGATCAAATTTGAAATCCAAAATAATTTCAAAATACTTGAAATATTAAAATAATGTAAAATATTTTTTTGTAATGCCAAATATCAATCTAATAGAAAATAAGTAGAGAATAAAATAAAAATTAGTATTTATAATACAGAGTACTTATTCAAACCGTTTCATTTGTATTATTCATTGTAGTCTAACAATTCAACTTAAATCGTCATGGCATTGAATTTAATCCAAAGTTAAAGTTGATAAGTAGGTTTTAGAGAGTTGGGTAGTAGTACTATGTGATTCTTAATCTTGCTTCATTATTATTTATATTTTGACTTTGTGCGCATTTTGTGAAGTTCAGAGATCGAGGCAAATTAAAGAACTGCTGATGTACGAAACGTATGAACGTTTAAAAGAGTGACATGAAAATGTGGTACAATAAGTGTGCTATGTAACAACATCTTTAATGCATAAGGAGTTGGCTAATTCAAAATAGTTGAAGTGGAGTTCATGTGGAACTTATGTGGAGGAGCACATACAAGTTGCTTCATCTATCAGATGAGTTACAGAGACTTGTAGTTATAGAAGGTGGGATTTGACTGACATTCCTTGCTCACATGTCATTGTTTGCATTCTTGATAACAGTGAGAACCCAGACCTTTACACAGATGAGCAATATTTGATGTCCAACTACCTACAACTATATAGTGACTACATAAACCCTATGAGCATGATGGAAATGTGACCCAAATATGAAAATGGACCTCCTGTCATCCCACCAGCAGACCCACGTAAGAACAGGGGAAAACAGAAGGTAAGGAGGAAACAGTCTGAAGAAGTTGAGAATGAAAAGGAAAGGAAAAATTTGCAGCATGTCTCAGGTTCTGAAGCGCCAACATCTAGGCCAGGTGAACCCGTGAAGTTGAGCAGAAAAGGGAATGTAGAAATAAAGTACACTATATATGGAAAAGTTGGCCACAGTAAAAGGTCACATGCTAAGAAGGATACGACAGCTTGAACACAGTAGGTAAATTCATAACCTAATGTAAACTCTATTGCTTTGTATTTGTTCATTTCTTTAAATGCAAGTACATAATTTATGGACTATGCTAATTACAGAATACAGGGAAAACTAAATCTACAAGGGATGATGAGAGGAAGAAAAGGAAAGCAGCTATGGAAATAGATCAAAGAAGAGAAAAGCAGCTCCCACTAGTGATGATAATGAAGATTGAGAAAGGTGCTCTTGTTCATTGTATTTTTTTGCTTGTTTCTAAATCATGAATATTGTAATGAGTGTATGTTTACAACATTTTGAACTATTTGTATGGCTGCATAACAAAATAAAAATATGTCTTGCAAAAACCCATTCATGGAAGTAATCTCTCAAAAAATTGAGAATTTTATAACACATACCCCATAATTTGAACAGCCTAGGAATCTCCTTCCAAGATTTGATTCAGTCCAAGTTGTCTTCACTACAGTCTTTTCACCGCATCCACACCTCGCTATAAGCCGGCCATGGGTGTTGTTGCTTGAGACGCTGGACATTATCTAAATTAGGATTTTTACAATTTACAGAGAAAGGGGTGGCAATTTTAGAGAAGAGCCGCAATATAAACAAGTAACGAAAGAGAGTGTGATAGAGAACTGATGCGTACGCCCAATTAACATCCACGTCAGATTATAACCGATAATTAACCTGAAAGTGGATAAATAGACTTTTAGTGAAACAATTATGTAAATTAAAGTATTTTGTGAAATGTTTTAAAGTTCATGTACCAAATCAAAATTCCCATGAAAATTCAGGTATCATTGCTAAAATTTACCTGTTAATGGACCATGGGTGAACAAAGCCCAAAAACTGGTGTTATTATGATACGACGTAGAACATAATGTTTGTTTGCAAAACTAGAACTCTCAATGTCCCAATTTAACTTAATTTGAGACAACTCAAAAAAGAAATAAGGAAAATTAATTTGGGACAGGGAAAGTAACACCAAAAATTTGCATACCATTCGCAAAATTTCACAAGATGCTTGAAATACTACAAAACTTTCAACACAAATGAAACAAATATAGTAAGCATTATAATAAACATTAGTTAACTTTCATGTTCAGAAAGTCACACAGAAGAACAAATGGCCGATAAAAACCTTCAACGCCACATGTACAAGACAATCAAGAACATTGGCTCCGCCATACTTACGCCGTCTATAGAAAAAACAAGAGGGAGTATTTTTTTTTAAAAAAAAGATCATTATTTAAATTAAATATTAAAAAAACTAGTATTCGATATGCGGGTGTGATCGATCCCTAATGGAAGAAGGTATACATATAAGTCAATAATGTATTTAACAGAATGCAGTGGGGCACGCGCAGAGCCTATTGACCATTCGGAGGATTGCCTAGAAGGCGATCCACTGCAGCATTAACATTCCCCGAAGTAGCTGTGAGAGCCCTTAGGTTTTCTTGCGCATCAAAGAAGCCCATTTCTTGTAACTGTGCGAGCTGAGGCGCGTATCGTTCTTCAGGTGGAACTGTGAAAAAACAAATATTGATTTTATACACATACAAAAATAGAAACCATGCCTTAGAAAAAGAGACAAAATGAATGAAACAAGTCCAAGAAAAATGATGCGAACCGTTAGGTCCATTGAGAACTCCAAAGCCACCTGACCCAAGTCCACCAAACATATTCATCAGCATATCTAATCCCATATTTTCAGGTGCACCTGACAGAGAATAATGTAAAGAAAATGATTATGTGAATTGTGGAAAATGAATGGAAAGTAAACTTCAGCTCTAATTTTGGATATACTTTTCTTTAATATATTTGGGTTGTCATGGGGAACAGGTCCCCTTTGAAATCCCACATCAGATATGGATGGTCTAGGTGAGCGTTATATGGAACAAAAAGTTTTCTCAAAAACCTTTTGAGATAAGTCCAACCCAGTCACTGACTTTGGGAGTGTGTGTGCACATGTGTCTATGTTACTCCATTCAAAAATTCAATCTCACAGGTTAGAAAAATAAAGGTGTGGAGCCTTTCATGGGTTGTGTGTGCATGATGAGGGCTGCCGTGGGCAGGGCCCTTTAGGTATTGCGTTTGTGTTTCTCCATTTGAAAAACAAAAGATTATTAAAATACATTTCGTTCATTCAGTAAATTCAGACGTTTCAATTAAAAAAACCCATAACAATTGGAATCTAAATATACAAAAGCAAAATTATCCCTTATGAAATTGCTTTGTCAAGTTGCGTGGTGCTTGCAACTATAAATGAACCATATAAAAATACCTGCTCTTCCACCATTTGGGCCTGTTGCTCTGCACACAGTAAACAATTTAGTAAGAAAATATGATAACGAAGGCTTATTCGCAGTATAATGGTAGTCAGGTCATAGGACAACTACATATAAAGTCAGTAAATGTCAGGCACTCCCTTTAGGAAATAGGAATGAGATGACTACTAAAAATATGTTGAAAAATTACTATGGAGTAATGCTAATTCCCAAGTCTCTTTTTGATAATGAACTCCCACCCCAAACAAAACATATTTTCTAAATTCTGTTTAACTTACTGGTTTGTCTGCTGTCGACCAAACTGGGACGCAAGAGATTGCTGAAACGCCAACATTTGCTGAAACAGGATGGGGGAAGATATTAGTCTATGGAGCTAACCATTGAAGATAGTGCACCACATTCATTGTTTTATTCCCATGAAAGCATTCTATTTCTGACTGAGAATAGATAGCACGTGCATCTGCACTCGCATTGGTGAAGGGAAAATGCTCAAAATAGAAAACCTTAACACAATTTGGTTCAACGAAATTGGAAGGAAAAGAAAAGAACGGTTTTCCCTCAATTTCCTCAACAAAATGGGAAGAATTTGGTTTTCCCTCATTTTAGTACATTTTGCCTTCTCGTTTTCTTTTCCTTCCACTTTTCTTTTCTTTTCCTCTTTAACCAAACAAGAAAAAGGTTTTCCTTCTCATTTTCTTTTCCTTTCCCTCTCAAATTCCTTGAACCAAACATAGTGTAAGTGCACTTCATTGCATTCATCATAGTTTTGTGCCCACGAAAGCATTCTAATTCTAACTGAGAACAGATAGCACATGCATCCATACACAAATTGGTGAAGGGAAAAAAAATCAAAATAGAGGAAAAGTTGTATCACCTTAAGACAGAGAAACTTACAAGTTGTGATAAAGACATACTCCCTATGTCCCATTATTTTAGTCTCATACCATATCTAGAAACATTTTTGTGGCTCACATTCATTGTTATCGTTCCTTTCTAACTTCAATGTCAACTATATAATTTTATTTTTCTTATTGTGTCACATCTTATTGTACCAAAAATAACAGGACTGAGAGAGCACTAAAATATCATGTGTGTTCTCAACACTGCCCATCGGAAGGTTGAACATGCAGCAGTTGAAGGCCCAAGTTGTGTACTTTTAGGTGCAATCAGCCACTGAACTTCAATTGGAAATTAAATTATTGTTTCAACAATCACTATTAGATCCAAACTTAATTAATGACTTCAAATATATTTCAAAACACTATATCATCATATTTAGTAACCAGTTAATGCAATCATTTTATAGAAAATAATAGATGGAAGCACCGAGAGCGCCCGCTCCACTCAAATGTAAACCAAACAAACCAAACTAGACAACCCCAATACATGGTAAGACAAGGGGGCCATGGTAGGTTTGAGATAAGAGCAGGATCTGAGATAAAGGTACATGGTAGGGATCCAACACAAGGGGGTGTCAAACAAAATGAGAAAATAGCAAGTAGCAAAAAACACATTTGCCATGGGAGAGAAATTCATATTTATACTCCACTCTATGGCCTTTCCTTCTCCTTTATAATCCTATTTTCTCAACTTTCATCATTTGCCCTTCTAAACTTTATTAGGATTGTTATTTTTATAAGAATTAACCACTAAACGCATACCCAGAGTCAGTGACGCACTGAAAAGACCGGACTAATCTTAAAAAAGTTCCAATTATGAGATAGCCCTTCGCCGCGTATAACTCACTAAAAAGTTTCATTTATGAGATAGCCCTTCGCGGCGTATAACTCACTAAAAAGTTCCATTTATAACTCACAACTTTGCACAACCATTGTGGAATCCTAAAAGGGACCTGCCCATCGGCCCTCATCATGCTCACACAACAATATAACATGGTCCTGTGCTAAGAACTCAGGCACCTTCATTAAGGTTATTATTGGATGCTAATGTAACACAACTTCATGTGCAATTTTTATGAAATACACTGTAAGACCATTTTTCATGGATATACACAGTCGGCCATGCTCATTAAACACACATGGTAAGACAATCTACCTGCATCATCTCAGGGGAAGTCATTTGGCGAATGAACTCAGGGTTTTGCATCATCTCCCTTAGTTGGGAATTGGAATCAAGCATGTTTCGTAATTGTGGGTTGAGACCAAGAATCTAAAAATTATAGCAAAGAACTTAGAAAAATAATAAATGTGACAAATCTTTGGTGAAAGAGAAACGAAAAGGAAATGCCAAATCATGGGGTAGTCAGCAATGCATAAAAATGATACCTGATTCATGTACTGAGGATTAGAGAGGAGAGACTGCATCATCTGTGAAATAGCAGGATTCTGCATCATCTGATTTACAGCATTGGGATCTGGCATAGCACTTAAAAGATCTGGTAGTCCAAGTCCACCTAGGCCACTTAATGCTGTCCTAGCTTCCCCAGCTGGGGTCGACCTGGCCGTTGTATTAGTCTGTTCAGTTCCAGCTGAAAAATCCAAATAGAGAAAAAAGAGGCAAAAGAGTAATCAAGAGATCTGATATGAACATAAATAGCTATTAAGACTTGTTAACTAGTGGAGATATGTATTCCATGTGGAGCAAGGAGCAATTAATATGAAGAAGCATACACTCTCAATAGACTTCCTCAGTTAAATAACTATTTAGACTTAATTCAAAATGCATCAACCAGTTCAACATTTCTATTTCAAATATTTCAAAATAAAATTATATGAATACTGATGACTATTTCTTATAATTAAAAAACAGGATGAAATGTGAAAAGACACTATCAAGGGAAGCCTACAGCACTCAGCAGTCAGCACCCACTGAAAATTTGACAGATAGGCAAACAGCATCACATATCTAAATACCAATAACCTATTTCCGCTTTAAATGCAAAAATAGCAGCTGAAACCTACACACAACTAAGCATGAAAATGTATTCTGATTAAGGGGTAGATGATTTGAATATAAAATTACTATTATTATTATTAAATGATAGAAAGCTTACAGCCAGCAGAGGCCCAAGGATTAGGAAGTGGATTAATATTTGGAACAGGGGGATTGGTAGTGTCTTCAGAACCTCCTCTTGGGGGATTGTTTGTTTGATCCCTAGCTTGCACACCACCCTGGACACCCAAGAGAGCTGCAAAAGGGTTTGACCCCACGTCACTTCTTGTGTCCCCAGCCATAGTTGTTGCATTCAAGAATGGCTCTTGAACAGTTTCATACATGCGCCTGAGCATATTAAATCCCTCTGGAGAAGATTCAATATTGCTCATTGCTCTGTCAGTATTACGCATCATCTCTCGCATGAGCTCAGGGTTTCGCGCAGCTTCCATGGTTTGTCGTAGAGTGGCAGGATCATTTAGTATG